CATGTAAATATACGTTACACTAAGTATATATACACTTTATGTATCACTTTATGTATTTGTGATTTTGTAGACACCCTAATAATACGCCCTCCATGTAAATACAACAAGTGTAGTGATTACACAATTTGCAAATGTGTAGGTTATTTTGCAGTCCATTAAAATACATTTAGGAATATAACTGCTCTCATTTAGGAAATTTCCAAAACGTATTAATTAAATATTGTCATAGGCCTAGTCATTCTCTGTATCTACACTTGATTACACACATCACCTAAACTGTTGTAGGTTGTACAAACAATGATATATATTAAACTTTCTAAAAATAGAGCATTCTATATATCTTTCCTAATAAAATATTATATGGTATTAACACAAGCGATTTATATTTGTTAAAACCTAATAACATTTATAAATGTCATCGCAACTATTCACTCCACAGTTTCCCACGGTTAGTCTACAATTGACTTTAGACAATTCTCTGCTAACCGATAAAATTAAGAAAGATAAACATCCAGCATTTACTTTGAATGAATATACTTTTACTTCCGATTGTAAGGGGTGAGTCATCAACGGATTTATAGTAACATGAACAATCTTGGTTCTGCGAAAAAGAAAGGAGGCATGGCATGATCAGAACGAAGAAAACACGTCAGTCGCCTACTCTTCCGCGCTGCATCATCTACCGTCAGGAAAGACCGAAAGACCATCGAGACTTTAATGTAACGAACTTGCTAGCATGAATTCGACAACATTTGCCTTCCCTGGATAATCGTAGGGTACGTACTGGACAGAATGCCGAAAGAGGTTAAAAAGGTTGAGAAAATTCTGGATAATTTTTAGTATACATGGAAAACCAACAGTGTCCAATTCAGCTTTTGGTTAGGTTACTTAGGAGATTTTAATTATGTTAACTAGAGCCTAGAAACATACAAAACCTTCTTACAAGAAAGATAACAAAACTTCGGGTTTTCTCTTGTGAAATACAACGGTCTACACTAAAATAATATTGTTTAAGGACTACTCCAACGTATCTTAAGACCTTCGATGTATTCAGGACTGAAAATAAAAACAAATACTGTATTTTCTGTTTAACTTGATGTTCTTGATTGACAATTTAAACTTAAAGCCATAGCTACATATTTTCTTATTGTAGATACTTGTGTTTCTTTGTAGATTGCATAAAAATATCATCAACCCTATAGTGTTTCTGTTGTTTCTATTGTTTTTTACGTCAATAAACACATTTCATTGTCCACTGTTTAGTTAGATTGACTTCCCTCAGCATTATTTTAGACAATATATCAGGATCAGGATAATTTTCTTTATGAAAGTTTTTTTAACATGATTATAGATTGCTCGAATGCAATGTATTTTGGATCAAATGTTTTATTTGCCTGTACCTAACCCATTCTCAGGTTTTTATGAGGTCACGATATAAGCTATTTGTTCCGAAATCACGTAAGTATTCCTGTTATCTTATCGAATTACATTGGAGGACCTAAAACAATGTAAATTGTTTATCAAAGTTAAGAAATTTTACATAACGAAACATTAGATTTCAAACATAACGTTTTCTATGTCAGGACAACACGACAGCGTTTAGAAGGCTATTTGCATTGACTATATACACTAGTATACAGTTATTGGTATTTGTACGTTTAGTTCAATATTTACCAGAATGGGTCACAATTATTTCTGGAAAATGTGTTTGTAAAATGTTTATTGAGCTAGCGCTTTTGATTATGTACAATGAACAAGACCAATTATAATGCTAATGAAATTATTGACTCGCCAAACACTAAAAGTACATGTACATGAGATCACGGAAAAGGCTCGTTGATATAATTTGGTTCATTTATCTAAAAAACCTAGAGTATAGAATATTATCACTCCATGCCTTCGCGATTAATTTTAAGAACCTATGAGTTTAAATGTTCCGTAAAACTTGTTAGTTTAACACGACATAATCAAGATCAATGAAAAAAATACTTGTAAAAAGCTGATGCCAGAAAACTAGGACATCGTATAACTAGGTAATGGAAGGAATGGAGGTACTCACGAAGAAATAAGCAAATACAGTATACGACTGAATATGAAATGTTACCATAATTGAGAGAAATAATAATATTAGTTTTACTTATAAGACTTGAGATTGTTAAGCTTTGAGACTTTTATTTAAACATTTTCATTTCATCACTTATCCTACATATTAGGTCTTGTAAATACTGTTACTAAAAGTTACTTCCTTTCAAACTGAGAACTGTATGCATTTTATTATAGAAGAGTGACCACAATCGCAGAAAACCTAATAGAGAATTTCGTGGAAAGCAGTTGACAAAATCTTTTTTGGACGATTTGACAACAACAATTTATGACAGATCTGTCATAAGTGTTTATGTTACCTAAAGAAACTAGCCGCAGAAATGTCTTGCAATCCAAAAATACAAAAATGTTTATTGAAGTCAAGGAACATTTATATTGAATCTGCAAAATATGAATGCATGTTAGATAAAGGAAAGCAATATATGGAAATTCAAGTTGGTACAGCGACCTAGGTGAAGCTGTTCTAACTTGAGAGATCTAGATTTGGCTTTGTAACGACAAGAGTATTGTTTAAACTAAACTAAAGGTTTTTGATTTTGTTAGAATTTAAAAAGCCCACTTGGTCACATTTATTTTAAATTACAAATGGTTGGTGACTGATGTCACACGCTTTATATAGAGATGAAGAAATAATGAGGGAATGAATGTAGTCAAATGTTATCAGAGAACGAAGAAAGAGACTCTCTGTATTTATGCTATGAAGTTATTAAGTTCATAAGCAATATCAGTAAATCTGCTGCAAATTAAAAATGAAGCGCTCCTCCAGTGGGGTTATACGATAAATATTATTTCCATGGAAGAACACTGAATCTTGTAATATTAATTTATGATAGATCCTGCATCTAGGTTTTAGGTCTGAGTGTAAAAAATATTTTTGAACATGCATTTAAAATTTAACTAACATGACTTTAAAAAGTATATTTAGTTTTTGATGAGTTGATTTTAAGCAAAATATTTTGTGCACCCGCTAATGTAACGACACTCATTTGATTTACAAAATAATTAAGTTCCTTGTAATTAAAATTACATCCTCCTGGCTCGGAAGTTACGTTTACGAGTTTTTTTTTTTTCATACGTATAGACAATATACTGTCCAAGTTTTTAGAACCAAAAGATTTTCCTTTAAAAATACTTTTGTTGATTATGGACGAACCAACCCATCACTAAACAATTAACATAATTTCTTATCAACTTGACCAAACCTTCTATTATCAACTTTTGATGCTAACTGCAACATTTATACTAGAGAGGCTAAATTTAAAACAAGCAAGTTATTAACAATTTATGTATGCTATGCAAGCAAGTTTATAGTTTCAAATTACTAAAACAATTTTCCGTTACTCAAGATTTACGTAAGTAAGACAGCTTACGTACATGTATAGATTCTATTCGAGATGGACTTTGCTCTTTAGTTGTGCAATTCTGTTGTGTTTATAAATACATTTCTGTTAAGCTATTTTCAGCCCTTTCAACAAAAACATTGTTCTGTACCCTCGTTTCTCTCGAAAAGAAACAAAAGAATTAAAATATTGGCACAGTAATTGTTTTTAGATGAGCGTATATCGCAGATTGCGTAGGTATAACCTCTTACATATTTTCAAGTTCAAATGAATCAATTGATAACAAGGTCAAAGTGCATGAACTATTGAGTTAGTTAACAAACAGCCATTATTTTCTTTTTGCAGCAGCTAAAACGTGCAAAGTATCGTTAATATTTTTAGATATATCAAATTGCCAAGAAAATCTAAACCACCGGGGTGGACTTTGCAGTAAAGATTTGGTAAATCATCGATTAAAATAACATCACATAACATAAGTCGTATTAAAATAATATCTTTCGCGCGGTAAAAGTAAACTGCATGTTGACACAGTTGAAGAGCAACACGGAGTAAATCTGTGTTGTAGATATACAGGGTGTTGAGAAAGTCTTAACACACCCAAAAATAAATTAAACTGCGTAAGATAAAATTTTGTAACTTCATGGGGTAACAACATGGGTCTTTACATTTGACATTTTTTAGTTTCCACCTATCTACCCTTAAAGGGGGAGGGGGCCAAATTTTGATTTCTTGTAAAAAGCTAGAAAAGTCATCATATAATGATATGTTGAAGCTGCAAAATTTTATCTTACACCGTTGAATTTATTTTTGGGTGTGTTAAGACTTTTTCAACATCCTGTATATGGGATATTGTAGAAGATTTGGTGCCAAATTAACAGTCAAATTAGTAAGTCCACAAATAAGTATTATTTTATGAGATGTCTGGTAAAGCATGTTTCTATAAACTACTACGCATTCTTTCACATCAATACGAGCTACCGAGACCCATGCGGGCCCGGGTTGGAATACGAACTGTAGTAATGTTGACTCGTTATTTTGCAGAACCAAAAAGAGACTTTTACAGGAACAAGGAGAGAAAAAAGTAAACAAGAGCATTTTACAACAAAAATGATATTGCCAACGACTTTTTGGAACGGAAAAAAATATTTATGCCATCAGTTTTCTATTTTATGCCAACCAAAATTGATCTCTATAAAATAGGTTTTTTTATAAAAAGTCAGAATAGAAATATTATATTTTTTTATCAAGAACTTGAGCAAAAGTCATGCTACAGTTATCAAGTAACGTTTTTACTTCATGAATATTGAAGATGGAAGGATTTCGACAGGAACTTCGGATTTTCATTTGTTAAGTTAAATCATAGGTTATGTATTTGTTACCTACATAAATACAGAAGATTTCTATACAGAAAAAATCTCAAAATTTATAGGTCAATGCACTTTTTTTTCAAAATCCCCTTTAAATAAATGAGCTCGAAGGTAGAAAATTTGAACATTCTCAAAAAGAATCATTTGCTTACAGAAATCCAACTGCTGTAAATCTGCTTATTTAGTTTAAATGAGGTTATGTGGGAACCCTAATCGAGTCACATCTCATGAAAACGCTACAGATATTAAGGGCACCCATTTGAGGCCGTTAGGAGGTCCGTTTGAGGGTTTGGTAACATTTGCAGAGTGTAACACTATGATGCCGGATGGAGAAAGTCGGACAATGACCTTGTGCTTTGATCTTGTGGTGAAAGGTGCCAACAGAACCGAAGACGGACTGTATGGGCGCTGGTAACGCTGCGTTTGGTAACGTTAGCGGACCCAGTGTAACACTATGATGCCGGATGGAGAAAGTCGGACAATGACCTTGTGCTTTGAACTTGCGGTGAAAGGTGCCACGACATTCACGTTCACTCGAGTCTTTTCATTAGTTTCATTCTTGCTAATCAAACCTTGTGTAGCTACGACAATGATAAACCAAATCATTAATGTCATGCCAATGTCTTGGAAAGGTCTAACCAACCCTGCACTATTCCGGGCGTCGGCAATCTTACTTGTATTTATGTTTGGGTGTGGGCAGAATTCGTCCTATATTGTCATCTCTATCGAGCCAACTTTGGACACATCAAAGCCACTTCAAAGTTTGTTTGATCTGAGTAAATAAACGTAAATTATTTTCCTCGTATCATCTTTCAAAACTATCTGATGCACTAAGCCTCACCGAGAAACGAAGAGATCCGAGGTAATTTCTTGGATTTTGCGCTGTAGAAGATTAGATCTAATATTTAAATAGGCCTAAACATTGAAATCCAGTTGCAGACGTTTACGGAACCTTTAGTCAACGGAATACCTTGTCAACGGAGGTCATCGCACTCTTACGCAGTAGTGAGACGAAAACATAATCTGAGGTCCCAAAAAGCTCTTTTAAATCAACCATAAAGCTTAAATACTTTCAGTTAAATATACCAATAGGTATCAATATCCACATACCGAAGATAACTTCTCTGAGGATTCCTCGTGAAATTTAATCCTACAAAGAGAACATGTTAATCGTGTCAGCTATCTGATTTTTCGCTTGTCCTCCATAACCTGGCTCTAATATAATTTTATACTGAAACTAAAGAAGATTGTAGTTGATGATAAATTCTGTTTCAGTTTAAGACAACATAATTAGTGCTTGAACCATCCAATGTATAAGTTTTAGCAAATTTTCAAATGTAAATCCAGGGTCAGTCCACGGCGATCAAGGGGGTTAGACAAGTAAAGAGCTCAGACTTAGGATAATTTTAAGGTATTTAAATATTCCGGCTTCGCAACAAGATACTCCTTACCTCAGAGTAAATTTAATGTATATTTCTTCTTTCTTGTAAATAAATATATCCAAGGCATTCCATATTCAGAATCAACAAAATCAGAAGTCAATCAATATTCCGGGTTGTCATGTTAATTTTCCTCGTGATAGTATGGTACCAATTGCAGCAAAATATGGGGAAACCCTTATTTGTTGAAAAATTTCCCTAGTCTATGCAGTTTTTTATTCATAGAATTGTCAAGGTTGAGATTTTTACTAATTTAATCCTTTGATATCCTGAAAATTTGGATCCGTTTATTTGGTTTGAATTTGCTGGATCTAATATCTCAAGGGTCGAGCAAGCAGGAATTCTACAGTATATACGTTGATCTGGAGTTCACGATTATATGTTGCCCAATTTTGAACTTACCTTGAACTTACTTTACCTTGTACTTCGTTGTATATGACTCTTTTTTACGAAAGAATTAGGCGTGCGATCTACCAAGGAAATATTTGCATGGAAACAACAAAATACAAATGATAACTCACCCAATAAATTAAATATGAAAAGCTTGTCACTTAATCGACACTACTTATCGATTAAGTTTGTGCTGGAAGTTGTCATGCGTCAGAAATTCTAGACTCATATTTTGGAAATTCATTTTTATAAGACATTAATTCATGATTTTTAAACATCATCAGGATCACTTCGCTTCAGCTTCATCCAAGGCTATAAAGGATTATGATATGTGGAAACAAATTAAAACATTTACGCACAGAAAGAAAATCTACCTGTGGAGTGAAAATAACTACTTGTACTAAGGCGACAGAAATGCTACAATCTAAGCTAGTCTGTTTTAGCCAGTAGATAATATGACAGGGGCTAAAACAAAAAGATGAAAGATGTGGTGATAGTGTTTTGCACGGATGGAGGAATAAGATTCCCCAGAAGGGGTTTGGAGGAAAGGTGTTTGGGTAATAATTGGGAGGGAGGAAGGTACATATGAAATCGAGAATGGAAATATTTCTACAACGCGTTCTAAACATCAACCACATTCTCACGAACCATAAAACACTGCCTCACTAGAGAAGAAAGTTTTGCAATCCTACAGCTCAAGAACAGGGCACGCCTAAATAAAACTGAAGGCAAAAATAAGATACAAGCGGGAAAAGACAGAATATTCCTCAAACTCTTCTGTTGCATATGAATATGCATGTGTTTATCAAAACACTCGTACGGGTGTTTCACAAATAGCTTTTGTTGTGCATTCTTGGTCGCGCGAAAGTACATTTACATAGCTTTGATAAGTGAAGAGCGCAGTTGCATAACCCTAAAGATAAGAAGTAACACATAACATAGTTGTAGAGATAAGTGTAACATAAATCAGAACGGTGAAAGATATAAGTTTTGAGATGGAATTTAGACACAACAAGTTGGATTATCGCAATTGTGTAACAGTTGAATGTAAACAGATAACTACGTATGTTAGCAGCCAGTACGGTCACGTGGCCCGCTGTGTGTGCATGTAGAGTAGATAGGAAGAATGAAACGTGATGCCCATTATACAAGATTGATATATCTGTTTTCAACAATTCAATTCAATGTTTTCCTGATCGGCTTTTATAATTTCCGAGCGCTGGTAGGAACTTTAACCTATGGAGGAGGAAATTCGTCTTGACCAAATTCAAAAGGCTGATTGAGCTTGATTAATTAGAAAGATGCAATGGGTTGACTAAAAACCAGTTTACACATGGTGTAATTTTTATTGCGAATACATTTAAAAGAATTTTTTTTGTTTAAGGTAAATTTTAATTGCAACTTCAATTTTGAAAATTATTAGTATTGTTTGGTAGTATTTATTTAGGTAGGAGGGAAGGATTGTGATTGATTAATCCATTATTATTAAATATGTTTGTAACTTAAAAATACTCCCGCCGCATCAAACCTGCAGACTAAGCAAATTTTCAATTGCCCGATTGGCTTTCCACTCAAATATATCATTAAATTTGTCAGATGTATTCCCTATTTAAAAACCATTAGGATTATTGAGTAATTAGGTTTGCTGTTACTTGGAGGTTTTGGTAAAATATTAAAAGTTTAGTATGAAATAAATAAAATTGTAAAATTGGATCAAAAATATATATTTATAATCAAGAAAACTAGAAAAATGTATTATTCTCCATAAGAATTCATTCAAATGCATAAGTTAGTTTTTAAGAATTTTACCATTAGCATTAAGTGTAGGCCTACAGCAATGCTTCAAAGTGCGTACTAAATTTTTTTTATTTTTTTAAGCTCTACAACATAGTTAGGAAAGAAATTGCAAATTTTTACGTTTGGAGTGTCAAAATTTGGAAACCTCACTTTTAGCCCTATACAACCCCGTTTCCGTAGTCCGATCATACTGGTTCAAAAAATTGTTTGTATTTTTTTAAATATGTTTAATAAATGTATGTTGAACATATTTTATCGCATAACCATAATTATGGAAAAAAAGAAAACATCGTCAAAATTTTATATTATGATAAAAAAATTAGAAAGAGTGAAAGTTAAAGAAGAAAGACACATAATATTTCAGAGGAACCAGTAATGAAAACAATATCCCAAACATAATTGAACAACTAAATTTGGACCCAACTTATGAACAAATAAAGAATCAAGACTTAATCAATAATTAAAACCATTGACAAACAATTCAAAAATAATATATACAAGAATTTGGTCAAATTTAAACAGACAGGGTGTTTTGCAACCATATGAACAAACTTGTCTCATTATTCAGCATGTCAAAAGAAACAAAAATTTTAATATAACATGTGTCCTATCTCATTCCGTTTTCTGTTTGTCTGTATGTGCCGTTTTTAACCTACGTTGTGTTGAAACTATCTTTGAAACTGAGGGAAAATCATTATACTTGAATTGTTACTGATTATTGTTGCTGTAGGTAGTTTACAATAAAATTTCGTTTTCATACAACTTTCCGTTTGAAGATGGCAGCAGTTAAAAATATTTAAAGTTAAATAATTAATAAACTACAAAAGCAAAACAATTTTGTATAATTTATTCTTATTGACTGAGGTTTGACCAAGAAAATTAAATTTTGCTTAGCATGAGTTACTTAGTTAATTGAAACGTCTACTTGAAAAGAACAAACAACTAAACAGCTGATTTCAACAAATAATAAGCTTATTTAAACAAAACAGCTGACCACAAGTAAATAGCTGATTCCAATCAAACAACTAACTCATTGCTGAACAAAATATTGAGCTACATGGTGTTTTCGTCTTGTAGTGCAACTTCATGGTATATTGTTGAAGTTGTTTTCTTTACATTTAACGTACTGTTGAACCTTTTCCACATTAAACAAACTTCAGAACTAGCTTACAATTTTACAATGGGGTTAGAAGTCTACTTGCACAAATTTCAAATTAAATCCAAGTGTTTATAATGGCTTATTCAAACAAATACTGATTTGACTTTTGCTATTTAGTTCAAACCGGTCGCGGGGTTAGATTGAAATCGCTTCTTTCAATTCCCTTTATATTCATCAATATTATGTAAGCCGAACATTATCTTTTGTTAATAAAAAATTAAATCAAATTAAGTACTCAAACATTTCTAACAGCAATCATACTTAAAAACTGCAATCTTAAACCTTTAAATCAATTGTAAGACAACATGTTAAACATGTTTAAAAATTGTGACCAGAGTTGCACCAGCCCCACCCTTGAGTGCAAGTGTAGTAATCGATTAAAATTATGAACCGTATACATTTCAAGAATATGCTGACATTTATTTGTGAAGCTGCAGATGGTAATTTAACTAGTAGATTGTATGCAGAACATTTCCTTCATAGACGGCCCAAATATAACCTAGTTGATTTTTTACCCTTTTGGGTTCACGAACCTTTGAATTAGGTGAATGAATTTACTTCAGCAAGGGTAATTTTTAAATAAACAGCTAACCTTGCTTTACCGTGGCTTAGTTTTATAGAACAGGGATTAAATTTTCTTATATACACCGAATAATTTGAGACCCGATGAGCATTTCTTTTTTATGAAATAGTTATAATTCAGACACACTTTATTCTAGGCCCGCATATGATTTTTAAACGTTAACCCCATTTTAAACACTTTATTGTTAGAACTACAAGCTTGTAAGAGAATGTATGAACTGAGATTTTGAAAACCAGCGAGCAAAAGGCGAGTAGTGGCTGCCCAGATAATGCAACATTGCCACATAGAGTTGAGTCATGCATCCATGTCGAAACATTATTTCTGCACTTAGTTGCCCCTATTCGATAAATAGCTCCATATATTTATAGTAGAGGGCGAACATTAGGTCTGCTATAATGGTGGACATCCTCTTATATTTAAGTGGTACACATTCGTTATAACAGTTATATGGTTTTCATACAGAATAGAAGGAAAATAAACCCCATCATTATTTTAATTAATATTGAATACACTTTTTTCAATTTTTATTAAATCTACCAAGCGCTATTCTACAGAAAATCAGTAGCATACAGTGTTATACAATCAAAAACCTAATATACATACCTCTTTATTACACGAATCCATGATAAGTGTTTTTGACAAGCTAATGGGAGAAAGTATGTGTATGTGGCAGATTCCTGATAACGTGTATTTCGTTGGTTTGGCATAATTTCATATAATACTTAGGGCTGGCTCCGTATAATTAAATTCTTAACCTTTTAAACTGGATCTTTACCATCATTTATAACTTTATTGATTTGACGAATATGTACAAATGACGTTCGTGAAAATATGTACATTTCTTAATGCAAATTCAATCAATAGAAATTACAATAACTAAACTCTTCGGTGATTGTTTCCTTACTTCAAACCACTTTTGTTGAACAAACAAGATTATTGATCAACTCTTTTGTTTTAATTTTAACCAAAATGAATATATTTTGAGTGTTAATTTTTTTTATTATTGCATCATTGAAACTAATAACTACAACACACATTCACACAAAATACATACAGATATTTCCTAAGCCAACATGACTTTTAACAAAAAAATAATGGAACCCTAAATGTATTAAATATTGAACTTACAAATTAAAATAAATACTTGATTTTATCAGTATTCAAACACTCTGACCTTAACTCAATGGACATAAAATGTTGATTTGTTGTCAATAGGAAACCAAAACCTGTGTTACTATAAAAAGGACCAAGAAGTGTGACCAATTGGAGGTTCCAGTACCAAAAGTTATTGTGGATGTCCTTGAGACTTGAGGAGGTAGAAAAGCGAGTAGATGTTGCAATCCGCGATCCCAACTGCCAGTCAACGAACCCAGAAACAGAGCTCATATTCATGGACAATGACCTGGTGGAACGGGCCATCCTACCAGCCTACCCACCCGCGCCATCCGTGGATAGGAGGTATTCCGTTACCCCCGTGACTAAAAGGAGGAAAATATGTTCAGTTGTCCCCTTTCGTTAATTCAGAGAGATTTCTCGCCTGCTCCCTCTGGACGAAAAGAGCGAACTAATATGGATCAGTAGCATCAATCGGTTAGAACACAGGAGATGTATAGTTATCACCTTAGAAAGGTGATATGTATTATTACCTCCTCAGACATTCCAGAGAAGATGTTCAGTCACCTCCCTAAGAAAGCTCCGAGGAGATGTTCAGCCACCTCCCCCAGTCAGCTCAGAGGAGATGTTCAGCCACCTCCCTCAGTCAGCTCAGAGGAGATGTTCAGCCACCTCCCCCAGTCAGCTCAGAGGAGATGTTCAGCCACCTCCCCCAGTCAGCTCAGAGGAGATGTTCAGCCACCTCCCTCAGTCAGCTCCGAGGAGATGTTCAGCCACCTCCCTCAGTCAGCTCAGAGGAGATGTTCAGTCACCTCCTTCAGTCAGCTCAGAGGAGATGTTCAGCCACCTCCCTCAGTCAGCTCAGAGGAGATGTTCAGCCACCTCCCTCAGTCAGCTCAGAGGAGATGTTCAGTCACCTCCCTCAGTCAGCTCAGAGGAGATGTTCAGTCACCTCCTTCAGTCAGCTCAGAGGAGATGTTCAGCCACCTCCCTCAGTCAGCTCAGAGGAGATGTTCAGTCACCTCCTTCAGTCAGCTCAGAGGAGATGTTCAGCCACCTCCCTCAGTCAGCTCAGAGGAGATGTTCAGCCAACTCCCTCAGACAGCTCAGAGGAGATGTTCAGTCACCTCCCTCAGTCAGCTCAGAGGAGATGTTCAGTCACCTCCCTCAGTCAGCTCAGAGGAGATGTTCAGCCACCTCCTTCAGTCAGCTCAGAGGAGATGTTCAGCCACCTCCCTCAGTCAGCTCCGAGGAGATGTTCAGCCACCTCCTTCAGTCAGCTCAGAGGAGATGTTCAGCCACCTCCCCCAGTCAGCTCAGAGGGGATGTTCAGCCACCTCCCCCAGTCAGCTCAGAGGGGATGTTCAGCCACCTCCCTCAGTCAGCTCAGAGGAGATGTTCAGCCACCTCCCCCAGTCAGCTCAGAGGGGATGTTCAGCCACCTCCCTCAGTCAGCTCAGAGGAGATGTTCAGCCACCTCCCTCAGTCAGCTCAGAGGGGATGTTCAGCCACCTCCCCCAGTCAGCTCAGAGGGGATGTTCAGCCACCTCCCTCAGTCAGCTCAGAGGAGATGTTCAGCCACCTCCCTCAGTCAGCTCCGAGGAGATGTTCAGCCACCTCCCTCAGTCAGCTCAGAGGGGATGTTCAGCCGCCTCCCTCAGACAGCTCAGAGGAGATGTTCAGTCACCTCCCTCAGTCAGCTGAGATGAGATGTTCAGCCACCTCCCTCAGTCAGCTCAGAGGGGATGTTCAGCCACCTCCCCCAGTCAGCTCAGAGGAGATGTTCAGCCACCTCCCTCAGTCAGCTCAGAGGAGATGTTCAGCCACCTCCCTCAGTCAGCTCAGAGGAGATGTTCAGCCACCTCCCCCAGTCAGCTCAGAGGGGATGTTCAGCCACCTCCCTCAGTCAGCTCAGAGGAGATGTTCAGCCACCTCCCTCAGTCAGCTCAGAGGGGATGTTCAGCCACCTCCCCCAGTCAGCTCAGAGGAGATGTTCAGCCACCTCCCTCAGTCAGCTCAGAGGAGATGTTCAGCCACCTCCCTCAGTCAGCTCAGAGGAGATGTTCAGCCACCTCCTTCAGTCAGCTCAGAGGAGATGTTCAGCCACCTCCCTCAGTCAGCTCAGAGGAGATGTTCAGCCACCTCCCCCAGTCAGCTGAGAGGAGATGTTCAGCCACCTCCCTCAGTCAGCTCAGAGGGGATGTTCAGCCACCTCCCCCAGTCAGCTCAGAGGAGATGTTCAGCCACCTCCCTCAGTCAGCTCAGAGGAGATGTTCAGCCACCTCCCTCAGTCAGCTCAGAGGAGATGTTCAGCCACCTCCCTCAGTCAGCTCAGAGGAGATGTTCAGCCACCTCCCCCAGTCAGCTCAGAGGAGATGTTCAGCCACCTCCCCCAGTCAGCTCAGAGGAGATGTTCAGCCACCTCCCTCAGTCAGCTCAGAGGGGATGTTCAGCCACCTCCTTCAGTCAGCTCAGAGGAGATGTTCAGCCAACTCCCTCAGTCAGCTCAGAGGGGATGTTCAGCCACCTCCCTCAGTCAGCTCAGAGGAGATGTTCAGCCAACTCCCTCAGTCAGCTGAGATGAGATGTTCAGCCACCTCCCTCAGTCAGCTCAGAGGGGATGTTCAGCCACCTCCTTCAGTCAGCTCAGAGGAGATGTTCAGCCAACTCCCTCAGTCAGCTCAGAGGAGATGTTCAGCCGCCTCCCTCAGTCAGCTCAGAGGGGATGTTCAGCCACCTCCCTCAGTCAGCTCAGAGGAGATGTTCAGCCAACTCCCTCAGTCAGCTCAGAGGAGATGTTCAGCCGCCTCCCTCAGTCAGCTCAGAGGGGATGTTCAGCCACCTCCCTCAGTCAGCTCAGAGGAGATGTTCAGCCAACTCCCTCAGTCAGCTCAGAGAGGATGTTCAGCCAACTCCCTCAGTCAGCTCAGATGAGATGTTCAGTCACCTCCCTCAGACAGATCAGATGAGATGTTTAGTCAACTCCCTCAGACAGATCAGATGAGATGTTCGGTCACCTCCCTCAGACAGCTGAGATGAGATGTTCAGTCACCTCCCTCAGACAGCTCAGAGGAGATGTTTAGTCAACTCCCTCAGACAGATCAGATGAGATGTTTAGTCAACTCCCTCAGACAGATCAGATGAGATGTTCAGTCACCTCCCTCAGACAGATCAGATGAGATGTTTAGTCAACTCCCTCAGACAGATCAGATGAGATGTTCAGTCACCTCCCTCAGACAGATCAGATGAGATGTTTAGTCAACTCCCTCAGACAGATCAGATGAGATGTTCAGTCAACTCCCTCAGACAGATCAGATGAGATGTTTAGTCAACTCCCTCAGACAGATCAGATGAGATGTTCAGTCACCTCCCTCAGACAGCTCAGAGGAGATGTTTAGTCAACTCCCTCAGTCAGCTCAGAGGAGATGTTTAGTCAACTCCCTCAGACAGCTCAGAGGAGATGTTTAGTCAACTCCCTCAGTCAGCTCAGAGGAGATGTTTAGTCAACTCCCTCAGACAGCTCAGAGGAGATGTTTAGTCAACTCCCTCAGACAGCTCAGAGGAGATGTTTAGTCAACTCCCTCAGACAGCTCAGAGGAGATGTTTAGTCAACTCCCTCAGTCAGCTCAGAGGAGATGTTTAGTCAACTCCCTCAGACAGCTCAGAGGAGATGTTTAGTCAACTCCCTCAGACAGCTCAGAGGAGATGTTTAGTCAACTCCCTCAGTCAGCTCAGAGGAGATGTTTAGTCAACTCCCTCAGACAGCTCAGAGGAGATGTTTAGTCAACTCCCTCAGACAGATCAGATGAGATGTTTAGTCAACTCCCTCAGACAGATCAGATGAGATGTTCAGTCACCTCCCTCAGACAGATCAGATGAGATGTTCAGTCACCTCCCTCAGACAGATCAGATGAGATGTTTAGTCAACTCCCTCAGACAGATCAGATGAGATGTTCAGTCACCTCCCTCAGACAGATCAGATGAGATGTTTAGTCAACTCCCTCAGTCAGCTCAGAGGAGATGTTTAGTCAACTCCCTCAGTCAGCTCAGAGGAGATGTTGAGCCACCTCCCTCATACCGCTCAGAGGAGATGTTCTGGCCAATGAGCTTTTTCAGCCTCAGAATTAAGGGACACCAAATATATTGTTTAACCCCTCTTTGATCAACAAAGAAAAGAGTTGGAAGAGATTGTACAGTTCTCTTTGTGGGTTAAATGAGCAAAAAGGGAGATAGTTTAGTCCTCGTGAAAGATGGGTGAGTGACGAAATAGACAAGCTGTCCACCATAACCATACGTGAAGAATTTATTTTTTATATAAATAATTATTTATTTATTTGGCTCTCACTTACACACAATTTATTATTGTTTATGAACTTATCAGTTTAATTACATTGAACTTAATATATATACTTAACATATATCATATAGCCAACTCTTACATCAAGTACAGTACCTTAATGATCATATAGAACAGTAAGTTAATTATGTTTTAGTATTAATTATGTTTTAAATACTAAATAGGAAACTTAATTTCTGTAAACCATCTGACTTGAGATTTACAATTACGATTGCATATTATGGTACTTTATTGCAACCCCCCCCCCCCACCCCATCGAACACTAATTTTTTTTTTATTTGTAAAACATAAAGGTTCCCTTAATCACCATTGTTGAATAATCAACAATGTAACAGATCACTGGATCAATGTCACTTCGCCATATGAGGACTGTACCCTCCCTCTGTATGTTACGTAACCCACGACAACCGGTTTAGTAGGTGAAGGACCAATGATACGGTCGGAATATCATACCGAGGGTGTTTGGACATCTATACAACACCTTGCCGGCTCAGGTCCTGCCCCAAGTCTCTTTAACCCGGATATTCTAAACCTGTTGTAAGTGGATACGTGCACTTGCCTCCCTCGGTCAAAAATTCTTCGTAGTAACCTCGTCGTAATATTAGGGGGCGACTTGCCCCCTGGTCAGTTTTGTAGCCTATGTTTTCGTTATTTTATTGTTGTTATTTTCAACGTCAAAGACATTTTACGTGTTTGGAAGGGAACGGTGCTAACACTGATATTGTTGATCTGGACCGAACCAGCACCCTTCATATTTAAAGGCGATCACTATAACTCAACTACACAGACAATGTATGTGAGAGTTTGATTGGACACGAATGCATTAAATAGACTTTTATAAAAGAATAAATTTAGTGCCGTTTATACATTATTCTATACATAATTCCAACACTTCTGTGCATTTCAACTCATTTTTAAGATTTATTTGTTGACGAATCCACTCAAGGAAATCCATGAATTACACCTACACATTTTTGATATATGACCTCTTGATCGTCTGAGTTTACAAATAAATGTTTATATTGCAAAAATGTTATGGGGTTTTGCAGCACGTCTTCGTGTGATGTCTTGCTTGAGATTCAAAGTTCCATCAGGGTGCAATTCCTCCAATTGAAATTGTTATAATTCAAAATATCCATTTTACGCAGCAATAAACAGCTACAGTTAACTTATGCTACAATATCTGGTTCCAAAATAGGTAACATTAACCTTTATTTTCTAACTATTTATAGTTTGTTTGATGGACGACGAGAATACAAGCTCCAAATCATGATAAAAATAACAAGCCCCGTACATATTATTTAGTAGCAAGAAAGAAGTGAAGCATGTTTGTAACCTCTTAATGAAGCCTCTTTACAGCGGATCCAAGATGTGTGACAGGGAAGAGGGATGTGTAACATGCGTTGATGTTTAGCTTTTTGATGGTTCGAAACTGGACCCAGCTGTCCTAGCTCATTGGGCCTTCAATAAATGGTCCTGACTAATTAAACAGCTGATCTTAGTCAGTAACAAAGCTACACTAGGCATCACTCTTCATTCTAAACTCTTCACTCATATTTGGGTTAAAATATGCACATAGGTGGCGTTCCCTTAATAATATAAACATACATTATACTCTGTGTAGGCCTATGCACGATGTTCTGTCAGACGGTACACTATTTGGAGCTGCTGAGAAAACCAGAGACAAGGAAAAGAGGTACGCAGAATTGTGCATTGACTTCCCATGATGAACCAGAAGCTGAAGTATATTGGTCCGGTTTTCATTTTCTAGGCACTTCTATAAAAATTTTTCTTAAAATTAAGTGTTCAATCCAATATGACCTCCGGATACAGAAGTACTTAGATAGAGCATCTATAAAATCAACTCTTATTTGGCTAACCTACTGGCAAATGTTTAACATACTAAACTCCCTTATTGAATTATTATCCACACCACATAGAAAAAAGATAATTAAAGACTAAAAACTAATGAGAACTTTAGTTTTGTACGGTTTATGTAGAGTGTTTGTTGTTTACTTTTTTCTTTAGTTAATTTTAAACCCATTTTAACCAAATAAAACAATCTCCTCTTGTATTATAAACAAACGGTAAACCAAAAATCCTCAAAAGTTCCACAAAGATTAACATTTACTCGACACCAGCGCCTCCTAAACATTGCCATGCAACACACACGACAAGTTTAAAATTTTACAATAGGATATGAAGCCTACTTGCACTATCCAAAATCAATGCTAGTATTTTTTTAAGTAGGCTACTTCCGACTTGCTTGGTTAAGCTTACAATAATTTGAATATGATATTAAGAAATCGACGCTTTTACTACGAAAATTGAGACATTCTACATTATTCACTAAACATAACAATTTGCCTAACAATTTCCAAACTCACGTGTGCTAGTAACATATTACGCTGCAACCAAACATGTCATAGGCAGAACTTGCCCGACGTCCCTTATTCAACAGATAGTAATCGATTAGTGTTACATAACCTTCAAATTTTGACAGATTTTCTATGACTGGTTTTATATTTTGGTTACTTTTGAAAATATTACTCTGTTGTTAGTGGTTAAAGTTCACTTTAAGAGTTGTACGGATTATATCAGACAATAGATCGTAACTGGGTTTTATCATTGACTATATAGTATACAGGGTGATTGGTATAAGTGTGCCAGCCGTTTTATTCGAAAACCATAAGAGATATCAAAAAAAGTTAAATGGTAAGTGCCTTGGATTTTTTATTTAACAAATTGTAGTCAAGTCAAAAAAATTATTTTAGCCGCCATTTTTCCAATATGGCCGCCCACTTTGATTTTTCTTATGGAACACCCTGTATTTTATGATGTATTCTGATAGAAAATGTAATTTTAAGACGATTTTATTCTTGTGATTTTTTTCCATAAACCTAACCGTTTCAAAGTTAATAATGGTTTAAGTTGTAAAATTTTGAATGGTTTTCGAATAAAATAGCTGGCATGCTTGCATAGGCCTTTACTCTTCCTCATGCAGAAATTTCAAAACTTTAACCATTATTAACTTTGAAACGGTTAGGTTTATGAAAAAAAATCACAAGAATAAAATCGTCTTAAAATTACATTTTCTATCAGAATACATCATAAAATACAGGGTGTTCCATAAGAAAAATCAAAGTGGGCGGCCATATTGGAAAAATGGCGGCTAAAATAATTTTTTTGACTTGACTACAATTTGTTAAATAAAAAATCCAAGGCAC